AGAATTACTAATCAGGACACAATTTACCAACTAATACATTCGACAATTTCCGCCATTGCACAAAGATTCAGTCTAGAATGTTAGCTGCAGATAAAGAAAATGTGACGGCTGGATTATGTGAGGATAGGTCGACAAAAAAAATCAAATTACAGCAAGACACCTAGCACAATGTTGAGCTGCAATACTTTTTTCTCACTAACGACCAAATAGCAAACCCAAATGCAACACTGTTAATATATATAACGTGACCCGTGAAGATCCGCGTTAAAACTGGTCTCCAGCAACCCGTGTTCGTCGTAAGAGGTGACTGACGGGATGTCATCGTATCCTAATTACGTAGATCGATGCTCATGTCAATCACTCGATTGTCTGGTCCAGACTCGATTTCTTTCAGACCGCCGTCACATAGCTGGAATATTGCCACGTCCCATTGTTTACATTGTAATCAAGAACTAACGAATCAACTGTAAAACAAATATCCATATACAGTTCTGTCACCTTTGGTCCAACAGCTTCTGAGGAAAGATTAAAAACAACTTACCAGTTCTTTAGCAAGTACAACAACAACCGGAGGTGTATACCGATCATTATGCCCTGCAAAACCACAAAACTACGTATTGTCAGTATCAATCACGCACAGTTTCAATTATCTGGGCTATTTACTTTCCCAGAAGAATAGTTTGAAAGTTTTTACCAATTATGTTCTAAATAAAAAAATAATAACATGTTTGAGTTTGGAACACATTTAAGTAACCAAAATGGTTGCAAAGGAGCATTTGCGGGCGATGATTTATTTTTGGAGAAGGAAGAAAACATAACATTAACATTGTCTACAACAGCCCAAGATGAATACTGACCTTGAACAAACTGATAACACTTACAGTAATTATCTTTCAAACACTTTTTTGCCTATCAAACCGTAAACTATTAATCAACTTTCAATGTAGGTCGGATTCACCTCTTCGCTATTAGAGCCGATTGCACATATATAGTTTCTGACCAAATGCTATCGATTTCATACCGACGCTGCTGTCAATTGTGAAATATCACATTATCTATCAGCCCGAATCCCGCGGGTATAGAGTGTATTGCGCGTTGGGCTGTACTAGCATCGGGATCGAGTGTCCTTGCAACAGAGGTGCACCTGACCCTTATGTAGTCGAAATGAACTCTAACCTGTGGTAAACGTCCCATCGTGTACTTAATGAGCATCACAACGTGGCAGCGTTTGTCATCCACAAGTCTTCTCACAATTGTGAATGCCATCCATACACATTACACATGTGATACTATGATGTATCTGGGCAATATCAACAAATCAAAACGTTTTAAAAGGTTTTGAAGAACTTATAAAGTTGGGAACATTGATCGGTTTCCCATGTCGGGAATTATGCTCCGCGCCATTATGCTCAATTATCACTGTCAAAGGATGTTTAAATGACATATTGATCTAATTTAAGTTTGGAAGAGAAAGATGTCTGGTAGTTTCACGACACTAAAGTTACTGCTGTGATATAGATTTGTCGAACAGTAAAAACGTACAGACGTAAGCATTCCAATAAAGAGAGAAAGACATTAAGAAAAATACAATATTGACGATGCAGTGCTGGTGGGGGGACTACATCTCCGTGGAAACCATAGGCTAATGATTATTTGCAAACGCAATACTTCAATAATGTGTCTTTGTTCAAATATTCTTATCTATCACGGCATTCTCTATGTCATAAGAGTAAAAACCTTAAACTGTGGCTTCAGTGTTATCACGTACCAATTCTAATTGAAAAAGTTAACCTCTAAGCAACAACCAAATGATAATTGCGTCATCACGCGCTATGTCCCGGTAATGGTTATATAAAGTGTAAAACAAATAATCATTCACTGACAAACTAGGTTAGTAACCCTAATTTATCAATGCTTTTTCTATTCATGGAGGAATGCAACATGTTCAACCATTTGCCTTAATGCTAATCAACCCCTTGGGATAAAAACTGCACTTTCCAACTCAAACAAGAAAAAAATCCTAAGCTGCCACAGCAGTCTTTTCTACTCCACAGTCATAATCATAAAGTACATAATTATCTGCACAATGCATTTGTAAAACGGAATGTCGAGCCTACATAATGTTAAAGAAATTGGTTTCTAAAAAGTTATCCACCTAAACATCTTTAGAAATTATCACAGAAGTAGGCTTTGGTGTAGCCTAGTGGTTAAAGCGTTCGCTCGTCACGCCGAAGGCCCAGGTTCGTTCTCCAAATGAGTCTGGTTTCTTCTGTCGAGATATTGCTGAAATATTGCTCAAAGCGGCGTAAAACCATACTCACTCATCCATTCGAGTCCTAAAATGAGCATCACAATGTTGAGGACACTCCACATATCAATCTTCACATTAATAAAATAGTAAACAAATGCAAATGCCACAGATGAGGGGCAACACGGGAATGTAATACTGTAAAAATGCATGAAAATACAATAAGCTGATAAATAACCTGGGTCATGGAATAGATATATCCGTGAAATATGCCATTGCTAACAGTAACTGCCTCAAGAGAGGTATATTTTGTGATTTAGAACTTGATTCAGAAACAAACTGAATCACCTAAAGCAGTTATTTCTATTTTAATGTGCTGAACCGATTGTCTAACTAACCACCAGATACCAATAAACATACCTTTGCCGTTACAATCTGACTATAAAACCGTGTTGCTTATCATGATAAGGCGGTCACGTCTGTGACCCAACAACACTGTCAGCACACAGCACATACAAGTCATGTCAACTCCAGAATTTACACTCTCACAAAAAATACATATCGACGGACACGTCGGCGACATCAGGAACTATCATTAGGGACCAACAGTAACCGGGCAGAAATTCCAATGTAATTATGTTAAATGATTAATCTGGTTAATCTGGTCGCACAGCAATGACTAGACAGCAATGACTAGACACAACCACCCAAAGTAGCCAGATCAACGTTTCAAGTTGCCAGATGAAAAGTCACCCCCAGAAAGGTGGCCATCTGAAGTTTTCATGGCAGCATAGGTTTCATGGTACTATGCGTTCTACTGGTCGTTGGGAATTTTCGTTGTCTTCATTGACCCTAGTGTAAGAAATGGATAGTAATTTTGTTACTACTTGGTAAACAGATCTGCCGACCCTCAATCTGACATGGGCGAAGGAAAATTAGAAATTAAAGATCAGTTAACGAAGTTAAGTACCAGCAGCTTAAGAAAAAATAGACGGGAAGTAAGTCTTCGACATGTCATTCCAAAAGCTCTCCAAGCTGTATTTTTTTATGAAATAATTTACTGCAGCGACCTTTTATATACTTTAAGAGACACTTTGTTTTTTGCCACTCATTTTTGTTTCGACCAAACGTCACATGATTTTGAAAAAAGTACGTGAATCAAGGATATAAAAAAGCCAAATGTAAACTTCATAAAAAGCAATGTGAAATTTACCAAAGACCAAGTAATTATTTTTTACTGAGAATGTCATTTTATGGGTTTTATCGACATTTAATCGGTCTTTGTAGATAATGGTCGTCAAATGACAACAAAATTCCAGTTAACATAAAATGTATGGTGATAAATCCAAATGCATCAGGGAATTCGACTGTAAGAAAATCAAAACACAAATATACTGAACCGCAAAAGAAACGTCACCCCAAGTAACATTGCATGAAAAGTTGTCATTTAGATATCTGGGTAATTTTTGTCAAAGTTTCTAAAATTTGACATTATCTTGTCCGGAAAAATAAAATTTGGTGATACAAAACAAAGCAGACGACAAAGCAGTTCACCCATTTCTTGCCCTATAAAAATCCACCCAGATCGGATAACATTCATTCGTTATTGAATTGCTACCACATGCCAAGATTGACAAGAAATTAGCGACAGCCAGCGCTTGGACGATTGCAAGTTGGACAAACCTTTCGGCAAGTAGCCAATGCATTTCAAGTCCACGTAAGGACCATATACAGGCTCCAGCAACGGTACCAGACCACCAACATTACAGATGACCGACCACGTAGTGGAAGACCAAGGGTCACCACCTGTCGTCAGGATCGCCAGATTGTGCGACAGCATCTGCAAGATCACTTTGCTACTGCTGCGGAAACTGCTCGACAGACCATGGGGACACACCAGCGACACATTAGTGCGGACACCGTGCGTCGACGATTGACGAACAGACACCTCCACTGTCACAGGCCACACCGAGGACCCATTCTGGCACCACGTCATTGCCGGGACCGTCTTCAGTGGGCAACACAGCACCACCATTGGCGCCACCAGCAGTGGAGAAGAGTCCTCTTCTCAGAGTCGTTACTGTATCTCAACAGCAGATGGCAGACAGAGAATCTGGCGACGCCGTGGGGAACGTTATTCGGATGCTTGTGTTGTTGAGAGACGCGTGGGGTGGTCCGAGCATCATGGTGTGGGGTGGAATTGGTCTTGCACAGAGTGTCGGCCCTGTGGTCTTCGAGAATATCGGTCCAGGGAGAGGCAATGTTGTCACAGCAACTCGGTACAATGATCAAGTCTTGAGACCACACGCCATACCTCATTTGGCACGTCGCCGCAACCACGAGTGCCCGTGCCCGTGCCCGTGCCCACACTGCGAGAGCAACAAGAGCCTTCCTCCAGCAGAATGGCATCAGAACCATGCCGTGGCCTGCCCTCATTCCCGATTTAAATCCCATTGAGCACCTGTGGGACGAGATTCAAAAACGGCTGAATGACGTCCGATCAAGGCCAACAACTGCAGCTGAACTTGGCTCAAGTGCCTATGCCTTCATCAACCGTCTCACCCGTTCCATGTATCGACGTTGCACGGCAGTCATCAATGCACATGGCGGACACACGAGATACTGACTTGTGATGCCATTATCTCAGAGACTAGTGTCACTTTATGAACATTTGACACTTTAATTTCAACTTTGATGATCAGTTTTGACAAGTTTCATCTTTCTAATATGTCTCAAAGTATGTTTTCGGCGTTTGGACAAATAAGGTTTCTCATATATCTATCCATGGTGATGTTTCTTTTGCGGTTCAGTATATGAACATCGCGTATATGCTGTACTCGATGCTGTCATAACTGAATCAGTGGCGTTTACTCTTGTTTCTGCATGTGACAAGACGACAATGTTCCCCGCGCGAATCCATCGCAATAAATTATTTCAAGACAAATGCGCATATATGCTTTTCGCTTGTCACGCCATGTTGATGCATCTACACTTCGTTCAGCGGTTTCACACTTACAAATGAAACGAACATCAACTGATATATAAATGTAATTGGCGCTGAAAATTCAGTTTGATGACAACTAGAAACAGAATTTCATAACGATTATGACTTCCTTAAATCAAAAGATGAAAAAATGTGGTATTTTAGAAATTAATATATCACATCTAAGAGCATCCATGTATATTTGTGAATGTGATCAAAGCTGAGGTATCTAAATAACACCAAATAGGGTGTTATGCTACTATTCACAATTCCATAAACCAACCAAATGTAGCTGTAAACAATGTTTGACAATAAAGCCCTAAATGTTGAGACTAGTACAGTCAATAAAAAAAGGCTATCCCTCCTCTGTATATATCTACCCTTGACTATCAGCGTCAGTACGGGTGGATGCATCTGTTTCTCATGATAACTTGTTGCTACTGAGAGCTTCTATTTCTATAAACCAGATCCCAGGACCTTTACAATGGCCTCCGCGGATGCTCCTTGTGAAAACAGGTAATCATATTAATAGTGTCCTAGCTTAGTTAACGACTGTATCATCTATCCCACGTGTTTGCTGTATAAGTGCATTATTTGACATCCGTTTTACGTCTAAGCAATTTTTCTTTGAAATAGTCGTGAAATCTTACAATCGTAAAATTACGTTATGGAAATCGATCGTACCACATTAGTATAACAAGCATAAAATTGGATGGCACAATTCAATTTGGGAACCCTGGTAGTAACGTCAATGTCAAGTTAAAGTTCCCATACCTAGCAGTTGAGGAGAAGCCGATATTGCAGACAACGGACAATGACGACGATTGAGGATTAAAAGAGGCTGTGGTTTAAAAGCAGTAGGATTTGGGCACCAACAAGGTTATTATAACGTGATGCTTTTTAATTGACATGTGATCTACAGAAAATGAATTCTTTATGATAATATTCACATAAAAATATTATATATATTACTGTGTTTTTAAATTACAGTACTCATATTAGGTATAAAAGCCTGTTCACCTGTGTAGGGGTAGAGGAGTTCCAAGCACTACAATTACATGGTCGAGAACATAACCAGAAGGTGACAACTTCTAATTAATGCTTCGTACATGCATGTTAACGCTTGCTCGCAAAATCCGATGAATGATAAGGTTTAATAAGGTGGGCCCGATAAACAGTCTGCCACAGGGACCTGACCGAAAACAAATCGCGAAAACGTTAACACTGTACCACATTTTGAGTTAAGGACAACTGAATTCGCCTTTGGTACCTGACCAAAGAAATAACTGCAACATAAATCTGAAACCCACATCACTTGACTAGAGCATTTAACCATGCCGTTACTGAGTGAGACGTAAACGACTTCTACGACATCTAACACCCAAGCTGCTCAGTGAAGGGCGGGAGACCGATCACAACAATGACTGTGTTAGGTCAGCTTCTGTCTGATCCTCATCACTCACATATTCGTCCTCCTCTACATGGGCACTGTGTTCTAGCTTATTGCTCCGCCGACAGTTTTCCGAATTTTGTCTTTTGTAAAGAGAATTCTGATCAGCTTCGACTTTGTGCCAGATTATTTTGTTTTTATCCTCTAAGCTTGAAGGTCGTTTTTCACTACAGTACAGTTTGACAGCTTCTCCGTCGGTACTATCTTGTCGGGCGTAAGACGAATCACTCAGGAAAGATGTCTCTGTATTACTACTCAGGTTTGTGTCCAGGCTTGACTGTTTGTCACATGACAATCTACCACTACGACGTCTGGCGTCTCGTTGATTGGCCGGATAAAGAATTACATATTCACTAGCGCTTCTGACACGCTTTTCGCCTTGATCGTTGTCATCATCATCAACGAATTCAGTATACACCTCTGGGACCTCTGTGTTGAAATCCTGACCATCAAAATCGTCAAGAATTTGAGATGTCTCAGGAACAGTGCTGAGCTTCCTCTCTTTAGGCTTATCTCCTGGCGACAGTAACACTGGAGAACTGTAGGTATTTGGACTTGCCCCACCAGACGAGATAGGTGACACCTTCGGTGTAATCACGGGTGTTGTAGCAGGGGTACTCTGAGGCGTGGCTTTGGGCGTACTTCCATTCAGAGACATCTTCGACCCCTTGTGACTCTGCGTTAGATGAGATAACATTGACATGCTGGATGGATGTTGGACGTTATGAAGGACGAGACCGTTGTTCTTCGACTGAGACATGGATCTGCTCATATAAGTACCTTTGTATTGGTTAGCACGTTCAGTGCATATGCCGTATCTGCCCAACAGAATGAACACATCCTTTCTGAATTGTTTGGTTAATATTACATACAAAAACGGATTAGCACAAGAATTAAGAGGGTAAAAGAACACTAGTAATATTTTTGATTTAGTAATGTCGATCAGGGGGAATCCTGCCCCCGCAGTTAATCCAAAGAAGGCTATTGGTGCCCAACAAGCAAAATTTGTGAACACAAGTAGAGACATCCTCTTGGCAATTGTAGCATCATTACTTCGTGCTGCCGAGTCACTGTCTTTAACCTTGAAGTACATGCTAACGTAACACCCACAAATAACAATAAAGGCCGTTCCATTTAGGAGCAAGATGGAGAAGATGTAGCTCTTGTCCAGTACTCCTTCCACCTGCATTGGAAGGCAAATGCTGACGGTCCCGTAGCTGCTGACTCCTAGGAGGGGGAGCGAAGCCATGATCACAGCGTACATCCACCCGCACACCATCAGGCAGGACGCCTGTCTCAGTCGTAGTCTCTTCGTGAGGTGGATGGCATAGCTGATGGCGTACCATCTCTCCATAGTGATCACCATTAGGACGAACACCGACAACTCGCTTGAAAACACGGTAAGGAATCCTGCCACTTGACACCCTCCGTCGTTCTGCCAGTAAACCGCGTGGTTGAAGTATTCACCCAAAGAGTGCGCGTCTATTGAGGCAAGAAGGAGCAGGTAGAGCCCCATGATGAAGTCAGCAAATGATAAATTACACATGAGGAACTTCGGGACAGTCATCTTGCTCCTACCATTAATTATCACAATTATCACTATGACGTTCCCACACAGCGTTGCCAAGAGAACAAACCATACAAACACACGCAACCATTCATATCCCATGACATCTTCGCACGGGTTCAGGGCATTAGGCTGGGGAGTACATAAAACCTTTCTGTAATTGATGGACACATTCCCGCACTGGACCTCTTTGAGAATAGTTTCATTTTCTGGGAGAGTCACATTTACATAATATCCTAATTTCAAAAACACGTTTTTCTTCGTAGTTCTTGACGCCACCGTTGAACCTTCAGGTAAAATCTTCCCGAAAGGGTCTTCTAAACCAAAAGACCCGAAACCGTCATTGTCGGGTGTATCATCACTGAGATCCTCTATACTGCCCCAGAAGCCATCATTTGTCGCGAATCTTTTGCTTCTCTTCTCTGCACCAAGATCACGCGGGATCTGAGAAGACGAGGAACTGGATGGCCAAGCTGGAGTGGAGGAAGGTGTCATGGAACACTCCTTCTTGAGTTTCTCCTGGAACTCCTTTACTCTCCTCCAAAGCTCCGGGTCCTGCTTTTCTGGATGCTGGAAGGCACAGCAGTGATGGGCGTAGTACAGTCTCGCCACCTTCATACTGGAAAAGGTTAAGACTGGAGGAAACGTCTTTAGTGTGGGCGTATCCTCCACGTTAATCTCCTCAATGTTCTCTAAGCCCTCCGTCGGCAAGTTGGTAATACTCGTTTTGGAAAGGTTTCTGTAAAAAAATAGGTTCCATTGTGAAACTTTAAGACAACTTTATCGAGATCAAAATCTTACATTGTCAACTCTTGACAGATATTTGCAATTATCTTGTGTTTTTAGATCATTTTTGCCTTGTTTCATGCAAATAACTAAATACTATTTCATTAAAATCAGATCTTAGTTCTCGAAACCGCTACACAAAGATCTGAGGATATCTCATTACAGGTCACGTCAGGTAGTCTTTCGCGAACTTTGACCAAAGAATAAGATGACAAATAAGAAGTCGATATTATGCTATCAGAAAGCACCTTTAAGGTACTAGTTTCAAACTGTAAAGTTCCATTCCTGACTAAGCTTTGAAAAATACTGATAAGATTCAAAATTTTAAAACTGAACAAAAGAAAATTCTTGAATGTATAATAGATGGCTGAGACAGTGCAGCAGTACTTCCCACGGGCTATGTAAAGTCTCTTCCGTTTCAGATGTTTATCCAACTGAAGCGAGAAGGACGATGATTTTGACGGAATCAGGTACAGCACGTAACTGTCGTTCGGAATACCCCGTGTTTACCATTTCGAGGTTGCATGACGCATTCCGAATGTCAAGTTCCTGATCTGGCAAGCGACGCTCTGATTGGTCGGATAAAAGGTCGTTTTCATGTGACCAGTAATGGGATGTCCTCAGATCGAGAACAGGGGCCATATTTTGACATTCGGGGCTGTAAGCTGTATGTAACATAACACATTTGTATTTTCCTGAAAATATCAGTACAAACCATGATGTTGTGGTTCTTTCTCATCAAGAGAGTTTGTTCTTCCTTTTTCTTGTGTTTCAATAAACTACAGTACCTTCTTTATAAAGTCACGAAGAACGATTGTCATTTAACGTGAGAGACGGTCGTTTAGTATAATAAATATTGTTATATTTGTAACCTTGTTTAAAGTAAAAAATTACAATTGACAAACACTTCTGACATTATCTGAAAGAAGCTGAATAATCCTTGAATTGATTTTATATTTAAACTGTGGCACTGGGTATCGTCAATCTATGAAAACGTCGACTGTGTCTTTATACTTTCAATTTCTTTTCCTTTTGCCCTTTTAATCACGAATCTTCTATAAAATCACGGGTTTGAGTGAAACGTGTGTAATTATACTTTTTGCATGAATCACTTCCATCTTCGAGAATACAAATTTCAAAATCGAACGTTGCCAGATATAGATTCCCACAATAAGTAATAGAGTATTTAAACATACTGATATGATCGAACATGTGATCTCAAATGCAGTTGAGTATGGTTGAACATAAATATTTTCACAAAGGCATTTGGTATATAGAACAATGCTTTCTGTTAAGTCCGTATGGATGCACAAACCGAGTCCTTTATGGCACTATGTTATAATAGCGTCGACCCACTTGGGTCGAACTAATGATACCTTGTTTTGTTGCATGTGAAATCACGAGTTCTTGAAAGAATTCTTTCACCACGTCTTTAATAAACATATCTGTTGAATTGTTTACTAAGCACTTGAATGAGAAATGTGATCATTTTCACGTAATATTAATATATCAAGTACTTACAGTGAGATCAGGTCTCTGATGCCAACGAACGCCCTCTCCCCCATGTGGGACAAGTGCGGATTGTTTCTAAACTCCCTAGAAACAATAATGTGAATACAGTAAACACGCTTATAACGAACTGTTTTGGTCCCAGTAATTTGCTGTATATATGTTTATAACGAATTACGGTTATGACAAACTAAAATTAGTGGTCCATTTGAGTTCGTTATAACCGTAGTTTAATGTAATACAAAATCACTAAAGGCATTGGTATAATTACCATCTAAACCTTAAAAAACGTTATATGTGTATTTAACGCCGAAGTCAGAATGTCCAATACAAAGTCTTTGATTGGCATTAGTTGGAAGAAAATAAATATATGACACTTTTTATGGACAGCAACTTCTTTTATTCTTTGAGAGCGATAAAGGAACCCAAGAAACCCAGCAAAAAGAACCCGTTCCCAAATCCAAGAGATCCCATCACCAATCCTCGTCAGCATCCCATACCAAGGCATACCAACCGCCAACAAGGACGTGACTTTCACTTCCGACAGCACACTGAAAAACATGTTACACGCCCACGGTAAAGGTCCCAGCCAGTCCACCCCAAACTTCAGGGGATGTGTGTATGAGATATCATGCACTTGTGGACACAAATACATATGACAGACTAAGCGCCCCATAGCCACCAGAATAAAGAACATAAGGCCTCTGTTGAAAATTCTGACATGAAATCTGCCATTTTGAACATCTCATAAAAAAAAATTCTGATCGCCATATTTCCTGGTCACAAACCAAGATTCTCCACACCAACATCAGTCATTGGAAAAAGAGGAAACTTCAAGAAAAAAATCGAAATCCAAAGAAAGAAGCCAGCCATTAACCAAGGTATCAACCTACCCAGTGTGTACTCCACTGTGGTATAATCACATTATCAACCACTATGGACATCTTGATTACCTTGTTGCATGTGTCACAATAGCCAGCACCTTGCCATCACTACACCTGCAGTGTACTTCATTAAATCCTCTCCTGTTAATCCCATTGGCGTCGTCACACTATTGTTATCTTTGTACATAAATCCTATCTCAACGGCTTCGCCATTATATTGTTATCTTTGAACATTCATCCCACCTTTTGCTGTGTAAACATATCATGACTATATATATATTAACTCTGAGTACCTACTGTGCATTCACCTGATGAAGGAGCAAGAAGTAGCCCTGAAACGTCGTGACAAAGAATAAAAGAAATTGCTATCCATAAATGTAATAATACATATAAACTTGTCATGTAATAATACATTTATACTTGCATCACGAAAGTCTGTAAATGATCAACTACCATAACACAGGCAACAATTGAATAGATATAACAGATCACACTAGATGTTTTGTTTTTTATGTTTCCATTTAGTAGTAATGGAACTTCTTACAATGTAACTGTGTGATACGCCCACAACAATGGGTGATATATCTGTTTCTGTGGTAACATGACAATAATACAGAACACACTGCATGTGCTAATATCAACTTATATAATATATTACCACCCCTGGTGGACTTACAGTTTTGCGATCTGAGCTCCAGAAAAAGCACTGTCCTCGACTGTTTCGAGCTCGTTGTTTTCAAGTCGACTGAAAAGAAGAAAACACTTAATATAATCCATAAAACAACGTCTTGTTATGGTACGTGTATGTTTTCAGAGAGATACAGGCCATCGCGGCTGTAGTGCAATCTGAAGGCGGACGGACATGATATACTGGTACAGCGGAACATGCTCACCATTTTCGGGAACACCTCGTTTCATCAATGAGTATTCTCTGGCGCTGACGTTTTATGTTTACTCGACACCAATATTCGTGCACATAAAACATCTAATCACGAACAAGGTCAAAATAATATGTTCTAAAATAAATAACTCAAGACAATGTGGAGCGGTGACGGTTACTGGTTCATCCTTACGCGCTCGCTTAACACGTAGGTCGAAGAGACCAATGTAACATACAGTTTCGTATGGAGTTTGTGTTGTATCTGAGATAACATAAATACATTTGCTCATAGTGTTACCATTTTATTAACGATTTGTAGTGTCTGTCGCAATCTGATTGGTTCGAAAAACTTTATCAAATGCGATTTGCATGTCATTAACATGGTCCTGTCAACAGAATCGCCATTGAAGACCCACGCGTCAGGCCCGAAGTTATCCATAGCGGATAGGTTTCGGTGCCTGGAGACGCCAGTTGACCAATTTGTAATTAGCTTGGACATTGCTTTTTCCACGAAATGCTCGGATCGAATGATTGGATAATTTTCTTGTTAAGTATCTTATCCCACATGAGAAAAACGTAACATCGTTGATTTATCTACGCATATGGTTAGCTTATCATGGAAGCATCCACTCTAGCATGACGTCATGACATTACAGAGTGACGTCTTGTATGTCGTATGGCTGATTGCGCGAGTGAGGTTGGCTTTAAGCCGCTTTGAACTTTATTTCAGTTATATAACGCTTAACGTGGGAGGAAAGCTAGAAGACGACTTGGACGTTTACCACTTCGGTGAAAGCAACGAGCACGGGTATGCTGCTGACAAACCTAAAAGGATAATAAGAGATTTGAATAAGCGATCATAGGTTTCTGGTCCAAGAGACGCAATACTGCACAGCGAGGCCGCATGAGTAGAAAGAGATTATTACGGAAAACTTTGATAACGTTTTGTATTGACAATGTGGATAAACATTATGTCTTTATCTGAAAGCAAATAATGCTTATCTCCAAAAGCATTATTCTTTCTACAAACATTCGACAAGTCCTTGGGCTTCAGAAACAATTTCTTTAATCGAGGCTTACCTGTGCCGGGGCGAAAGATAATACCAGAAAGGCAGCCAGATCGAGTGAATAAAAAAAATAAAAATTCTAAGCCAACAATGCGTCAGTGTGACCTTGACAGTATGGCAGCATGTCCAAAAGTGAAGTCAGACTGTTCGAGGAGAACTGAATCCTTTCCCAAACTATTTTACAGGGTTATGGCCAGGTCTGCTCTTTACATGAATACATATCTTATGCAATATTTATACAATGATACGTATTCGTATCTTAGCCAAACAAAAGAGCACATAGTACACCGACAAACACATTATATAAGCGTTTAGCAACTGACACAGCCAGTGGCCCATTTGAGGATATAAACACTAAGATAGGACATTTGGAAATATTCATAGTGGTAGGGTACCAGTTTAACGTAGCAAGTCAGAAATTAGATAGACATTCGGTAAAGCCTATAACGGAAAAATATGTACACAGTTGAAACAATAGCATCATAAACGTCTATACATTTTAAGCAGAATCCTAAAAGCAAGATCGGAAATGAGTTCATACAATCAACATAAAGTAGGGAACAAAGGATGAAAAGATAAGTAAATGATTTATAAGGGGTTGCCATGTAGGCCAGAGCTATACACAGAAATATATCCGTGACACAGATAAGATAAACTGACTCACAGAACATACGACTTGACTTTGGAAAAGCTGCGTGTTGGTATAGACTTTATTCTGTTGGTTGATAGATCTCTGAAACAGAACAAGACATATTGTCACCAGACCTATGTGTCTTCATAACAGACATTTCTGCCAGAGAGTCCTACTATCATCAATGTTAACCTTTTCAACAGCTTCATCATTCGATATTGTCGACCTCTTCATGGATAAAGGACATCTTTACGCGATGTGCAGTGTTGTAGACTAGGGGAATACAACGTTAACATCTCGAGGCCACAGTCAGAGTGACTGAGTATGGTTTAACGCCGCTTTTAGCCACATTCCAACAATAAACAGGGCTCACAAATTCTACCCAAAAGGGGAATCGAACCAGGGCATTTAGCGTGACGAATCAACGTTTTAACACTCATATTTAACATCTAATGAAATAATAAGTTTAGCGATTTAGTTTGATTGAAACGTTATTAGCATCGAAGCCTACTGATAAATGGACTTGCCATGTGGTGAGAAGGTGTCTCTCTTCTGCCTGCGATGAGTGCCCCTTTAACTGTAGTTCCAAATGGCCTACCCGTATTAATTCTAAAACGTCAACGGTACGTGTAACATTAGATGAGATGAAATTGGGTTTAATGTCGCGTCCAAGACTATTGCACTTATATAGCGACGTGCATGCACGTGTGTGTGTGTGGCTGCTTGTACTAGTCCGGACTGATGCCGATTTATAGTGCTAGCTCACTGAGATACCATGCCGCAGTTTAACATGAATACCCCTCTCAGTCACAGTATACTGACTCCGAGCCGACCAGTCCTTGTTTTAGCCCCTTAATGCCAAGCCCCAGACAGGGTAACAACAAGTACCATCTTTAAACGTGTTTTGGTATGACGCGGCCGGGGATCGAACCCCGGACCTTCCGCTTTCCGGGCGAACGCTTTACCACAAGACCACGGAGGCGGTCTGTAACATTAGGCCTTTGTTAAACACTGGGACTAGAAGAATGCTCTAAACGTTGACAACTTTGTCGACGTCATCATTGATTAAATGTATACCTCACTCGTGACTGCAATATTTGGTTGCACTTCCGTGTTTAGGTGAGAAGCAGTGCTTACGAAACAGGTGTCACGTGGTCACATCAGCTCCACCCACTAATGAATTTTAGTACACCTATGCCCACTGTCAGTTTAAGGGCTCTACAGACGTTATCAGACCCGTGAAGATCTGGGTTAGAATTGGTCTTCAGCAACCTTTGCTTGTCGTAAGAGTCGACTAACGGGATCTGGTGGTCAGGCTCGCTGTCTTGGTTGATGTTATCATATCCTAATTGCGTAGATCGATGTGCATGATATCAATCACTGGATTGTCTGGTCCAGACTCGATTATTTACTGACTGCCGTCATATAGCTGGAATATTGCTAAGTGCGGCGTTAAACAACAAACAAACAAAACAGACGTTATCACATCTCAACGGCACAATGCTATACTGAATGCGTATGTGCAAAACTATAAAGTACGGAGAGTGTTTCATGTCATCACTTCAAAAGAAAATCAATGATGATACCAGTAGTAAATGGTGCAAGGTGTTAAGGTCAAACCTATTCGGCAAAAATCAATCGTAAACTGCCTCGCATCAAACTGCTTTGGTTACTTTCTGACATATATGTGCCATGTAACATGTTATTGTTAAGAGAAACGAAACAGTTTGACAATCAAAAATGATTTATTTTGCGTCACCGTCGGCTGAATGGTAACTTTGTGAATACCACACACATCTTTGATATGGACGTGGTATATGTACTGTTATCGCTCGACGCCAGGGTGTGAAGTGCCAGCGGATGACGTATATCCTTGTAAATGTCTTAACAATAGACACAGACATAAATAATTGAATGGGATTTAATGAGGATTATTTTAAGCAGCCAAGCTTTTGTACCGTAATTTGTAATTACTTCTCCAGAACCACAGTGAAGTGACATCTTACTGTTTCTAAATTAATACTCGACACACATTCGAACTGAAGTCTGGCTTTGTGGAGTTCTTAGCAGATTTTCTTGAAATCGTCTAGATCTAGAAATCGTCTATATTGCAAGAAGGACCTTGATCACACTCGCTTCGGGAAAGATCGATAAACCTACATTTATAGTGACATCGTCATTCATTTTCGAGACAAACATTTTTTTTGCGGTATATTAGCTTTCGATGTAAGAAAGATTTTCTGAAATACACGTGACTCTCGTAAAGCTTACAACCATGCATCAAACATTCAAAGTGAGGCCTAGCCACTCAAGTGCCGACAAAATAGTGGACCAAGTAGTCAGGATGTATGACCTGGTTGATAGTGTGTCATCGTACCCAGACGGAGGACCATCTTTGTTATGCACCGTTGTTCTCCAACTACAGTGGAAGTAGGTTTAAAGTTATGTGTTGTAAAATCGTAAGACACCAAGTTGCTACACATCGTGTCAATGTTTCATATTCCTACCTTGTGGTGACTGAGAAGCAGATCCTGAAAGACTTGGCGTTTTTAAAATTTTTTTAATGTGTCATAACTGATTTTTAGTGACCCATTCATGTAAAATGTACGTTTCACCTTTATTTGCTTTTTTTCGCACAATGGAATCTGTTTGGTCGGATAATCGAGACTGGTTATTCACAGGTGTCGACGTTTTATATTTATAGCAAATGGAAACATTCTGAGTTTACACAATGAAGCAAAATCTGAGTTCTGAGTTTAAGGGGCTAGACGTCAAGCCTAATTTCAGGGGTCATCCCTTCAATCGAAAGGGCAGTCAAAGGATACCGCAGCCTACTCAATCCCGGTGAGGTAAATTGTGGGCGTTTCCTTCTTAAAGGATTCTGGACGGAGAAGATAAACCTAAATCATCCAACACTGAACACTGAAGTATGGGTTTGACGGTTAAAATATATTAATCTAAAACCTCCCGCAAATGTCTGAAAGATGCGTAGTTTGCCATTTTTAGTCGTAAAAGTAATTCTTACAATTTTTTAAAGGAACTGTTGCCTCTTTCACATTCTCAAAATGCCCTCTGTTTCACGAAAATAGAATACCGTGACTTTATAACTAGTGCATACGTTGTATCCTAGCCTGAAAATTGAATTGCTTATATGCTGTGTTCCACTGAGATGACACTGTCATGGGTAATCTTCCTGTTAATTTACATACATCCAATGTAGGTTGTGTTAATCTCGGAATGGCTTAATCTAGTATAGGCCTTATTACAATCATTTTTCCCTATCAGAAATTAATAAATATATAAGACCCGAAACAGACTGATTTTACACTTTATACAAAACTCTTACTCATATGAAACTCGTGCATCCTTGGTTGATAAAATACGGGTTCCTAACTGAACATAGATACATGAAGAGTAACTGTCAATTGTAACATTTGTCAACTCTGTATATTGCCCATGTCTTTCTACCAATAACGCCTCAACATATCTTATCTGGATTGTAGGACCGCCTCCGTGGTCTAGTGGTAGAACGTCCACCCGGAGAGCGGAAGTCTCAGTGTAGATACAAGTATACCTTTAATTAAAGTGTCACCTGAACATTTAAAACGAGGCGTCTTGATATCAAATTTAGGCAATTTAGACACACATGATTACAACTGGTTCAGAATTACCGCGAAAAGATAATAGCATAATTGTTTGCTATAGTAGTAAACTGCATCTGTCACTGATTCCTCTATCTTTGACAAGGGCATTTACTTTGCTTTATCTGTTAGCAGAATAAATGACACGAACGGGCTATAAAAAACAGACACAGCGAAACTGATAGAAAACTTCATTTGTCCAATATGTCATGCGTCTTTGATGTCTCAGAAGCCAGACACTCATACCAAATATATTTACAAATGTAATGATCACTGACGGGACTGGATGTAAAGTAATTACTTGTCCCTTAAATAACCCTACTTCTGGGCATCCTTTGTAACCTGGTGGTATTAGGTAACATTAACTGAGATATTTATACCATCTAGACATTATATGTCCTTAGACGACAAGGGTGGCATGTTTATTGTTTTCTACAAAGCCGTGGAAGTTTGGTGCATTAATACGAGAAAGAATGTAATTCTTACCGATCAAATATGTAATTCTTTCCGATGGAGGTTTCCTATATTACAATACGTTACGTCGTAAATAGTTAAACAATATGTCTTATTTGTGAATGAGTGTTTTGTTTGTTTGAGTGTTTTGTTTGTTTGTTTGATGTTTAACGCTGCACTTGGCAATATTCCAGCTATATGACGGTGATCTGTAAATAATCGAGTCTTGACCAGACAATCCAGTGATTGACATCATGAGCATCGATCCACGCAATTGGGATACGATGATATGCATCAACCAAGTCAGGGAGCCTGACTACTCGATCCCGTTAGTCGCCTCTTATGACAAGCACAGTCGCCTCCTACGGCAAGCATGGGTTGCTGAAGACCTAAATCTACCCCGGTTCTTCACGGATTTTCGAGTTAGTGAGTATGGTTTAAGACACATTTAGCACTATTCGCCATACCACGGCAAAAGACACTGAGAATGGTTTAACGTATTTTATGGGAATCGAACAGAATCCCACCGCCATGTGCTATGTGTAATCATACTTACATCTCATACATTGTTCCGTTGGAATCTTTGGAACTTGTGTTGAATCTGGAAAAGTCAGGAACTTCCTGCAAACCGCTTTTCATTATTTTACTGAAATATAAAAATAACGTATTCTGCAACAGTATCTTACAACATGAATGCATACGCCTGTGAGAAACGGAACTACCACATGTCCACCAGAGGGAGTGTGAAAAACAATACATACGAATTGTTCAAAGGTAAACGGTAGTAACGTTGGTTTTTCCAACGTTCAGCATGAGAAAAGGAACCTGTTAAACACAAAATAACAACCCTTATTCCATCATCGTGGTGCTTTATTAAACATAAATGGATTAACTAACAGTTTACTTGAAAAACCGTCAAACTCCGAGAAGTAAAATTCTGCAGGTAAATCTCTTTAAGCCGTTCTTCAAAGAATGTGTTCTTTATTATATTTCATATTAAACTGCCTGCTCCACAAGAAACGACAGTGACTTAAGAAACCGGTATGTGGGAGTAAGTGAATAAACTATCTATTCCAGACAGGTGATACAGTCCAAAGTCGACTGGCAAGCCTTCATACACACGCGGCTCGGCAAAAGGTACCGTTTTTAGCAGAGCACGCCAACATGTCCACGCAGTCACTTGTTCGATACGTTTGGTCATAAGAGCCTGACACCTAACCGTAACCTCTGGCCACCTTCGTTCCTACCAAACCACACAGCAAAGGATAGTCGTGTCGTTTCACCAAACGTACATGGTAATCACTGGCAATTGCATACACCATAATATAGTCCTGCACAGTTTGGAGCAAATGTCCTATATACAAATATACAATTTTATTACCTGCACATTAATCAAATAAATACCCCCAAACTATTCACTTATAAAGCAATTACACGAATTGAAACATATTTAGAGGAAATGGCGAGATCTAGCTGTATATATGTCGAGCTGATTACTCTTTGGTAGCTTCTAGGAATTTTTCAAGAAACGATGATTAGTGACAATTGGAAAACTGATCTCAATTACAAATATGACTTGGAACCAGGTGAGCCACAACCTGACGAGATCAAATTATTTCACACAACGTCATTCCCTTGAGTTAAGTATATCATGTCAAGTGAAATGATTACGAAATAAAAAAAATAGTTTCGAAATATCATCAGAACTATATACACTCTTCCAAAAAAGAAACGCACAGGTAGATTTTTAGTAAATTTATTGTACCAAATAAAGTCGATATATTTTATTTAATGTCATAGATACAAATATGAAATCTTGGAGCTAGATAGTCACATGATGTCGTTGTACAAAGGCATTGAAAACTGTTCATTGTCATGTCACATAAGGCCACAAGGTTGCGCTGAACTCCGATCACGGCTCTGCATCTCCTCGGCACGGACTGGTAACACGTTGGCCAGTTGTGGGAGTGTGTGCGGCGTGTTCTGACGTTGACGTACACGTCGATCAACTTCATCCCAGAAGTGTTCCATTGGGTTGACATCTGGAGATCTCGACGGCCAGGGCAAGACGTTGATGTCGGCATTGGCTTTATAGGGTACTCCACCGTGACACGAGCTGAGTGCGGTGGAGCATTGTCAATGATTAAAAGAAGGTGAGGTTGAAGAATTTGATTCATGTATCGATAAACACGTTGCCTTCCATCTCGCTGGTCAAGAAGAAATCGTGATTCATCGCTAAACCACACTCGTCTCCAGTTTCTCAAATTCCAAGCCTGTAAGGTATGGCACCATCGCAAGCGTCGCTGTCGATGGATCTTTTGCAAAACAGGGACGATAACTGGTCTTCTGGGTCGGATTCCAGTCTCGCGAAGATGGTTCCTGACAGTCTGGTCCGATATCCTCCTCAAACCAGGGATGCGTCCTGCAGTATCCGTAGCTGTGGCGTTGTGATGACGTAGGTGGAACAGTCGAATGTAGCGGGGTGGTAACTCTTGGTCGGTCGGTTCTCGGGCGGTCTGCAGTGGAATTGAACTGTGTGTATCGGTCACAGAGGCGGCAAATAGCGCTGTTGTGGACGTTGAAGTGGCGTGCAACAGAAGACTGCGATTCCCCTCTTTGGATACGTCCTATGGCGATGTTCCGATCGGCAGCGCTGAGTCTCGGCATTTTCGAACTTGACAAATGTTGACACTTGAATGACAAATTATTGGCTTATGCTTGCCTTTTTATAGCCACTACCACGAGTTACGAATGCCATAATTTGCACGTGCATTTTGCTTTACTGTTTCCCTCCATGACATTTTTTAACAAGTCTGAAAACAATGCCGTTTCAGATTTTGCAAATCGACAATGGCATATTAGGCCACCAACATTTTCCAATAACATATCAAATTTATATACCGGATTTTTTTATGTTGTCAGGTTCAATGAACTACATACTACCCGTGCGTTACTTTTTGAAGAGTGTAGATATAGCAGATACACGCCATACCAGCCACACACAAATGTTCCAAATGCAAAAGACAACCTTTGGCGGTTTCTTAATTGCTAGTTAACTATTATAACTCTCTTGAAAGCCACTCGATGTTAGAGCGTACCCTGCCCTGTCGGGTGCACCCGACACAAACACATACACATACGAATATACAAACATAAGGTGTAAAGTATATCAGAGAATGCAAATAATTAAGGAGGTTATACTCACAGCGTGTTTAATTCTTTGAAACCCCCAAGGACGCCTTTGTTAATTCTGTGTAATTTTTCACAGTCGATTATCCACCTAGAATGTAAAACATATAAATGTATGTATGTATGTGTGTGTGTGTGTGTGTGTGTGTGTGTGTGTGTGTGTGTGTGTGTGTGTGTGAGTGTGTGTGTGTGTGTGTGTATGTATATATATGTATATATTAGTTTGCTATCAAACATGATCATATTGGCAATGCAAAGGCTACTCGATAATGGTACCTTCTGAAGAATGATCGGTGAAGATTAAACATTAAAATCATTTCCTGTTTGTATTTGTCTTTCAGACAGTTACACACCCAAATCAGTATTGTTTCGAATCCCGCTCATGATTATTGTTTTGTAGGACACCCAATTTTCGAAAATCTCGAAATGTGTGTATGAGTTGGGTGTAAGTCCGCTTTGAACATATTTCAGGTCTTATTACGGCCTTTCATTGATTGATTGAATATGGTTTTACGATGCTTTTAGCAATGTTCCAGTAATATCACGGCGGGAAACACCAGAAACGGGCTTCAAACATTGTACCCATGTGGGGAATCGAACCCAGGCCTTCAGCCTGACGAGAGATCGCTTTAACCTCTAGGCTACCTCATCGCCTCACGGCCTTCCAAGTTAGTGTGGAAGGAAAGCCTAAAGTGATGCAGGTCTTACAGGTTTGCTACTTTGGTGAAAACCACGAGCATCGGATGTTGACAAACCAAGAATCATAATTAGGCTTAATCTAGGATTCTAACGCGAGATCATAAATTTCTGACACAAGGGTTAAGGGGCGCAGCGGCGACTTATGGCGCCTTCATACGACCTGACCACCTGTGCCCTATTACTATAGAGACGTATTCGAGCTGAAATATTCAACTCATATTTTACAGGCAGCAGTTGAACCAGAACACTGTAATGTTTTACAATGCGCAGTTTCCCCGATATGTTTTCTTTCAGGGGGCTCGGATGGCCCAGTGGTTTGAGGGGCGCTTCCGTTAGGCGTTAGGATCAACCGGTCGCTGGTTCGAATCTTCCTTGCGCCTCATCATTGTGATAACTGGTTTTTATAGCGAAGTTTAATTCAAAATGTGCATTACCCATGTTGCAACAGTCGCAGCTAACCTGGCAACACCTGTGGCTGTTGAAAACAGCGTTGAAAAAAAGAACTAAATTTCAAGTTATGATTCGCTTGAATGGAATTTACTCACAATATTCTCAACTCCGACATTCCCTTGAAAGCGCCTGGTGCAATCGTCTCCAACTCAGTGAAGTTCCGTATATGTCTAAAATTGAAAATAGTGAGTTTGTTTGGTTTAACGCCGCTTTGAAAAGAAAATTGAAAAGATAACCCGCGATCATGAAACAATGCTAAACAAGTCTAACATTAACTAACAATGAAATATGCAGATAATGCAGCTATACTATGCTCAGTAACGTTAAAAGATAAAAATATTAACAAATTTGGACATTTGCTACGTTATACTTCAAATAACTTAAATATAAATGAAAAGGTACTAAAATAATACACAGTATATTGTATTTTTCTACGCTGTGATTACTGTAAGCTCATAACTAAAATGGTCAACTGTTGAAAAAAAATAGAAATATTTTAACACCAAAGTTCGTTTTGTGGAGACTAGAAAACAAGACACCGATGCTTTTATTGTTAACCTTTCACGTAGAGACTACTCAAAAGTGAAATCCTATCAGTTATATTTCAAAGATAAATACACGGAGAGATATTGTACCTTCGGGAGAAATCGGTTAAAACATCGTAGCTATCGCTCTGTGTAAGAGGTTGTCAATGATTAATATTCTGCCTTTGACACAAGTTTTCTGGTTGAGGCATGTTAAGATGTTAATAGAAATGTTGAAGGCTTTTCTTACTTATAGACAACTACATTTGTATGGTATCACCACTTGCATTTCATTGGAATGTGTTCTGGCCGGGGTGAAGATCGCTGGCTGTACAGTTTTTGTCTTGTGGCCAAAATACGAGGGGTTGTAGTATGGTCAGCCTGAGAGGACGTAGGGGTTGTGTTGCGGACATGATGTAGGGATTGTCTTGTGGTCGGAATATTAAGGAGTGAGATTGTGTTTGATCAGAATATAAAAGTTTGCATCAGTGTGTAGGGATGTGGGGATTTCGTTGTGGTCAAGGTATCTTGAATGTGTTCCAAGAGGTTCTGCACACTTCTTCATTAATTAGTTTTCTATTTCTCTTGATCAACATCTCTAACACGTCAACACTACAAAGTTTGCTAAGCTTGCGATATTCTGTCGTCTTTTATATGAAGATGGGAAGGATGTATTGCTACTGCAAAACATACCACCACAAATGACATAGTATGCTTAGGAACATTACAAACGCTACTGAAACTAATGGATCTATGTTTAGCCAGAGACGGTGATGAAGGTAAACCATGTTACGTGTGCCAATCTGACACATTGCTGCAGTGAAATAGTCATCATCATGAGTAGACAGCTAAGCCAAAATGCCATTGCTCAGACAACTTGTAATACATTGCATGGCGACCTTGTATTTCTAACTAATTAACAACTACCACTAGTGATTATTTTTAGGATACGCTCCCTTTTCCCTGACACCTTGCCAACTTTTAAATTAAAAATAAGTTAACCAAGTATAACAATGTTTCAGTAAACTACCTTTAATTTGTTTCAAAATAGTGAGTGAGTTTGATTTTACGCCGTTTTAGCAATATTCCAGCAATATCACGGCGGGGGACACCAGAAATGGGCTTCACACATTGTACCCATGTCGGAAATCGAACCCGGATTTTCGGCGTGATGAGCCAACGCTTTAACCACTAGGCTACCCGACCGCTCCTGTTTCAAAATTGCTTTCTTTGAAGTATGATTTGTTTAAAATGTCAGAATAAATTAAAAATATATTTAATACTAATTTGTTGCAAACTTACGTAAATTGAACCTCCAAGTTTTTCATTCTATTGAACTAAAGAACCTCCTGTTATTTTATGGTTGAAAGTAAAGCCTAAATTTCTTAAAACTACATTTTACAACAGCACTGTTATGGTATATATCGAGATATTTAACCGTAGATTAAAAGAACGAGAAACCGATTAAATTTGGTTGTTTCAAATACAATGTTATAATAATCATAATAACTGATCGTGTGTAATAACTTTCCGATAGTTGCATATGTGCATTTAAGCGATTCTCAATGCTGATTGGTCAATTAAAGTCATATGACATCACACTGCTTCTTTGTGGAGCAGGTGCGATCGGGTAGCCTAGTGGTTAAGCGTTCGTTAGTCACGCCGAAGACCCGGGTTCGATTCCGGACATAGGTACAATGTATGAAGCCCATTTCGGGTGACCCTCGACGTGATATTGCTGGAATATTGCTAAAAGCGGCGTAAAACCATACTCACTCACTCATTGTTGAGAAAATACGATATGATGTCATCCATTGTTCATGACAAATTGATTACATTACATTATCTGAACAATAGGCATCATTTAGAGAGGTTCTCTGTAGGGTTAACTTTGCAGATGTTTTTTTCTAATATTCTCTATTAAAATGTCGAAAATGAGTAATGTATAAAATACCCTTCTCGAAACTCCTGGGAATTACGGATTAACACCACACATTCATATGGGACAGGTGGTCCGCGATTTCTTGCAGCTCATTGGTTATTCTCTAAATCTTTAAGGCCACGAGACGCGTTGAAGTAGCAGCACTTTCGATATTATACCGTGTACATTCTATAACAACGTGATGTTCAATTCCATAAGGGTGACACATGAACAAGCATGACGGGTCGATTGCGACGAGTCTATGAAGTTATGGATCAGAACAGATTAGTCGTAGACGACTTTATCGTAGAAATGGTCCTTATGGCAACTACTGTGACCATTTTGAACGCTAGATCACTTCAATTCATATCAAACTATTCAAATAAAGTTAATATGAAGTCCTTGAATGACATTTAGCAGTGATACACATAAGGAAGAGAATATATGGACGTCAACTTCTTTATTATGTGGAACACAACGTATCGGAGTATACTCTTCAAAACAAGAAACGCACAGGTAGATTTTTAATAGATTTATTGTACCTAATAAAGTCGATATATTTGATTTAATATCATAGATACAAATATGAAGTTTTGGAGCTCGATAGTCACATGATGTCGTTGTACAAAGGCAGTGACAACTGTTCATTGTCATGTCACGTGAGGCCACAAGGTAGCGCTGAACTCAGTATCTCGTGTGACCGCCAATCACGGCTCTGCATCTCCTCGGCACTGACGAGATAAGTGTACGAATTCTGTCCTGTGGAATTCTGCGCCATTCTGCAGATAACGCGTTGGCCAGTTGTGGGAGTGTATGTGGCGTGTTCTGCCATTGACGTACACGTCGATCGAGTTCGTCCCATTTCGAGGTGTTCAATCTGGGTTGAGATCTGGAGATCTCGACGGCCAGGGCAAGCGGTTGATGTTGGAATTATGAACGTAGTCTACCGTGACACGAGCTGTGTGCGGTGGAGCGTTGTCTTGTTCAAACAGCTCCCTCTGGCTGTCAATGATTGGAAGAAGGTGAGGTTGAAGAATTTGATTCATGTAGCAATTTGCTGTCAAATATCCCTGAACCACAACCAAATCAGACCTCGTGGTGTAGGATATGGCCCCCGAATTCCCGTACACAATGTTGGGCAAAATGCTCATTTCGACGACGATAAACACGTTGTCTTCCATCTCGCAGGTGTAGAAGAAAGCCTGATTCATCGCTTAACCAAACTGGTCTCCAGTTTCTCAAATTCCAAGCCTGTAAGGTATGGCACCAACGCGAGCGTCGCTGTCGATGGATCTGTGCAAAACAGGGACGATAACTGGTCTTCTGGGTCGGATTCCAGCCTCGCGAAGATGGTTCCTGACAGTCCGGTCCGATATCCTCCTCAAACCAGGGATGCGTCCTGGAGTCTTCGTAGCTGTGGCATTGCGATTACGTAGGTGGAACAGTCGAATGTACCGTTTCTGTGCAGGGGACGGTAACTCTTGAACTGTGTGTATCGGTCACAAAGGCGGGAAATGGTGCTGTGGTGGACTTTGAAGTGGCGTGCAACAGAAGACTGCGAGTCCCCTCTTTTGATACACCCTATGGCGATGTTCCGATCGACAGCGCTGAGACTCGGCATTTTCGAACTTGAAAAATGTTGACAATTGAATGACAAATTATTGGCTTATGCTTGCCTTTTTAGAGCCACTACCACGAGTTACGAATGCCATAACTTGCAAGTGCATTTTGCCTTACTGTCTTCCTCCATGACATTTTATAACAAGTGTGAAAACAATGCCGTTTAAGACATTGCAAATCGACAATGGCTGCGTTTTGACGCACCGTTTGTCGAATATCTGGCCACCAACATTTTCCAAAACATATATCCGATTTACATACCGGATTTTTTGTGTAGTTATATACAATGAACTACATACAACCTGTGCGTTTCTTTTTTGAAGAGTGTATGCTTACTCCTTCATCACCTGATCAGGTTATTAAGAAGTAACCATATACTCTGAAACGTTGTGTTCCTCATAGCAAAGAAGTTGACATCCATAAATTCTCTTCCCTACAGTTCATTTGAATTGTTAGGTTTCTGTGACTTTTTACTGATTATATTTGCAAAGGATTGTTAAACAGTTGAATGTTTTCAAATAGTGAATTTTATGGACATTCCAATCGCCTTCATTATAAATAAACCCCCCCTTGTAAATAGCGTCAATGTATTCATCTACTGTTGGGCCCACAAATAAATTTATTTTGAGAACTGAGCAAGTCTTGTGTGAATTTGTGAAAGTTTCAGTCTTCTCTGCACAGTCGCGTACAGAAAAGTGTCGAATGTTTATAAACAGTATCATTTATATAAATGAGGAAAAGCAAGGGGCATGCATGTGATCTTGATGACGATTGTTAAACAGCCAGCAACCAGTGTTATCAAGCAGATGGTAAATAACTGGCATAAATTCTGACTATTGAGATATTAATTATAATTATCTTGAAGAAAACATTATTAACATTGATAAGCTGTTAATACGAGAGATGTGAGGGTATTGTTTGCACAAGCTTAGTTTGGCATTTATAAACGAGGGCATATTGAAAATTATTAATGCCAGGCACACACTAATAATATGTTATTATGTAACCTGTCGGGGAAAGAAGATTTATTAACATGTAACCAGAGATTGACTTCATGAACATGAATTACGATATTTAAACAGACACATGCCTATAATTAATTTCC